GCAGCCACAGCCGCCATTTTCTTCCAGGCTTCTCCCTCCTCCAACTCAGGCTGCAGCGGCGGCAGCGCTGCTTGGTTCCCTAGGCCTTCCCCTCCCTCCCGCGAACAAATTCGTCCCGCCCTTTCCCTGCGGCTCGTTATTGGCACCGCGCCATTGGCTCCATCCTACACCCCTCCCGCACTCCTGCCATTCCATTGGCCAGTCTGGGACGTCCATCATCTAGCCAATCAGTCCAGCCCTCTCATAGAGTAGGAACTTCTCATTGGCTGGCTGAGCTGTCAAATCTCGAATGTTAGAGGAGGAGTGGGGAGGCGGGCTCGACTTGGGCGGGGAAAGTCACTAAAGGGGCGTTATCGATACTTGTCGCGTCTTCCTACTGGCCAAAGGAAGAGCGGAGGCTTTCTGGTTGGTACACGCTGCTGTCCATTATCAACCAGGTTTCCCGGTGGGAGAAAGGAGGGAATCACGTGGCGTGCCAGTTCTTTCAAAGGCGCCCGAGGGGAGGAGTAATCAGAAAATGCGGGAGGGTGATTGCTTCCCAAGAACCCCTGCGCGCCAAGGTCCTTAGAATAAATGTTATTTCTAGGCGCGGACTTGCAGGCAGCCTCGTGTGGGCACGAGCTTCTGTAGGACGGACAGCTAAAGTTTGAAAAATAGCTCTACAAACACTTTTGAGCTCCGACTACGCCAGGGACTGTGCTAAATCCTGAGGATAGATATGATGGAAAAGATATTCTTCGTAACCACATGGCAATCCTGCCAGGGGCCGCACTAGCGTTATTTTCCTTGATTTGTCTCCACTTCTAGAACAAAGCACCTACTTATTTCAAAAAACAAACATGTTAACGAAAAGAGGAAGGATAACATGCACACTGTTTTAAGCCGATCAATGCCCCAGGGATGAGCAGTACTAGACGTCTGTGCGAGCACCGCGTTTTCTCTCTGAATCACGGGGATGTGTCACACCTAGGTCCTTCCTTGTGCCTTTTTTCTTTCTTGCTCTCCAATGCTACAGGTTCAAAAGATGGCACTTCGGCGTCCTGACGCCCATTCCTCGGTTTTGTCTTTTGTGTTGTGATGGGAAGAAACGACGCAATCTTCTCTCAAATTGCACCTGAGTAACCTTTACTTGAGAACAGATCACAGCCACTGAGTACCTGCGTGCAAGCGAGAAGTGGTGAGGGGGGAGGGGGGGTGGATTCTAAAGAGTACCTTTTTTAAAAAAAAATTTTTAGCACATACCATGTAGGATGTAGTGAGTTACGTGTAGGTTTTCTACGCCGATTTAAAAAACCCACAGGGAGCAATTCTCTGTCCTATAGGGAGAGTGAATTGGAATCAACTCAGTGGCCGTGAGTTGGAGTTTTTGAATTTGACTATGTACAACAAGGCACGAATTTAAACAATAGTGTATAGTATCTCAGGTTTTCTTTATAATTTTTTTATGAAGTAGGTATATTGCTATATTCATTTTCTAGATAAGGAAACTGAGGCACCAAGAGGATGCCCAGGTCACTCAGTAAATTGCAGAGCAAGAATTCCAAATCTAAGTTGAAAGGACTGGCAGTGGCAACAAAACAAATATCACCATATGCTCTGCCTATTTCAGGCTTTGCCATTCTTGGAAAAAGGCCAATAGGGGGAGGCCCTGTGACGGCAGGCTGAGAATCCTACTTCACAATAGCAGAAGGAAATTGGTTTACTGAGTGCTCACTCTGTGCCAGAGACCTTCCCATAAACTCTCATGTAACAATCCAGAGAGTTAAATCTTCTCCCTCTTTTACAGATGAAGAAACTGAGCCTTCGCCAAACAAAATATCGTAAAGGTCACACAGCTAGCTAACAAGCGAGCCTATCTAATCCAGGTCTTTCCAAGTGCATGATTGATCATTCACTCATTCATTCACCAAATATTTATCTACTGCAAACCAGATGCTTGCAGTAAGTACACATAGATCCTGCCTTGCAGGGTTTTTGCCATGTTCACTGTGTCTGCAATACACCATGATCAATTCACTAAACATATAATTCTTAAAAAACTCCTGGACCCACAATGAATTTCCCTATTATATAATCTCCCACAGGAGCCCAGGTGGTTCAGGGGCTAGCTGCTAAATGGAAGATCGATGATTCGAACCCACAAGCCCTTTTGCAGGAGAAACATGTGGTAGTTTGCTTCCATAAAGATTTACAGCCTGGGGAACACTCTAATTGCCCACAGGGCAAAAATTCCATTTTGATCCTGTGTCCTGACTTCCTCTTACCACGATTCATTGCCAGGTGCTGTGATCAATAATTTAAATTTCCGATTCAGAGCAGATTGTGACACACCAATTGCCCTTCTAAACTATCATCTTCGTCCTGCACCTTCCCAAGAGCCTCTATCGACTCTGTACGTTCACATCCAGGGTATCCCCTTCTGCTTGATTCTCAAAGGCCTTTATGTTCCCATCCTAACCTACAAGGCCCATTTTCTTTTTCTTTTTTTTTTTTTAAATTTTAGTCAGTGAGTGAGTGAGACAGAGAGTGAGAGTCAGAGAGTGAGTGAGAGTGAGTCAGAGAGTTGGTGAGAGTAAGTCAGTGAGTGAGAGAGAGTGAGTGAGTGAGTGAGAGTCAGTGAGTGAGAGAGTGAGTGAGAGAGAGTGAGTGAGTCAGTGAGTCAGTGAGTGAGAGAGTGAGTGAGAGAGAGAGTGAGTGAGTCAGTGAGTCAGTGAGTGAGAAAGTGAGTGAGAGTGAGTCAGAGAGTTAGTGAAAGTAAGTCAGTGAGTGAGTGAGAGAGTGAGTGAGTGAGTAAGTGTCAATGAGTGAGAGTGAGTGAGAGAGCGAGTGAGTGAGTCAGTGAGTGAGAAAGTGAGTGAGAGTGAGTCAGAGAGTTAGTGAAAGTAAGTCAGTGAGTGAGTGAGTGAGAGAGTGAGTGAGTGAGTGTCAGTGAGTGAGAGTGAGTGAGAGAGAGAGTGAGTGAGTCAGTGAGTGAGAAAGTGAGTGAGAGTGAGTCAGAGAGTTAGTGAAAGTAAGTCAGTCAGTGAGT